ACAGTCCCGATGTGGAGGTCATGAGTTCGAATCCCGCTCATGGCCCTGTCCCACATGTTCTCCCCCTATTCTTCTCCACTTTCCTGTCTCTCTCTCACTATCACTGTCAAATAAAGGCACAAAGGCACAAAAAATAACTTCTAAAAGAAAATTAACCAATGAAAATCAGACATAGCTTTTGAACCGTGGTTTAACAGAATTATTTTAAAAATAAACTCATGAAACAATCCTGGACAAAAATGATGGTACCCTTAACTTAATATTTTGTTGCACAACCTTTTGAGGCAATCACTGCAATCAGACGATTTCTGTAACTGTCAGTGAGACTTGTGCAGCTCTCAGCAGGTGTTCTGGTCCACTCCTCATGAGCAGACTGCTCCAGTTGTCTCAGGTTTGAAGGGTGCCTTCTCCAGACGCCATGTTTCAGCTCCTTCCACAGATGTTAATAGGATTTAGATCAGGGCTCATAGAAGGCCACTTCAGAATAGTCCAATGTTTTCCTGTGAGCCATTCTTGGGTGTTTATAGTTGTGTGTTTTGGGTCATTATCCTGTTGCGAGACCCATGACCTGCAACTGAGACCAGGCTTTCTGACACTGGGCAGCACATTTCTCTCCAGAACACCTTGATAGTCTTCAGATTTCATTGGACCTTGCACAGATTCAAGACACCTTGTGCCAGATGCAGCAAAGCAGCCCCAGAACATAACAGAGCTCCTCCATGTTCCACAGTAGGGACAGTGTTCTTTTCTTGATATGTTTCATTTTTTTATCTATGAACATAGAGCTGATGTGCCAAAAAGTTCCAGTTTTGTCTCGTCTGTCCAGAGGACATTCTCCCAGAAGCTTTGTGGCTTGTAAACATGCAGTTTGGCAAATTCCAGTCTGGCTTTTTTATGATTTGTTTTCAACAATGGCGTCCTCCTTGGTCGTCTCCCATGAAGTCCACTTTGGCTCAAACAACGACGGATGGTGCGATCTGACACTGATGTACCTTGACCTTGGAGTTCACCTTTAATGTCTTTAGAGGTTGTTCTAGGTTCTTTTGTTACCATTCGTATTATCCGTCTCTTCAATTTGTCATCAATTTTCCTCCTGCGGCCACGTGCAGGGAGGTCGGCTACAGTCCCATGGATCTTAAATTTCTGAATAATATGTGCAACTGTAGTCACAGGAACATCAAGCTGCTTGGAGATGGTCTCATAGCCTTTACCTTTAACATGCTTGTCTATCATTTTCTTTCTAATCTCCTGGGACAACTCTCTCCTTGGCTTCCTCTGGTCCATGTTTAGTGTGGTACACACCATGTCACCAAACAGCACAGTGACTACTTGTAACCATATAAATAGGCCGACTGACTGATTACAAGTTTGTAGACACCTGTGATGCTAATTAGAGGACACACCTTGATTGAACATGTCTCTATGGTCACATTATTTTCAGTCTTTTCTAGGGGCACCATCATGTTTGTCCAGGCCTATTTCATGAGTTTATTTTTTAACATAATTCTGTTAAATCACAGTTCAAAAGCAACGTCTGATTTTCATTGCTTAATTTTCATTGAATTTTTATCTATTACGTTCGTCCGATTCAAGTTATTTCTGTGACCGTTGTGGGTTTTTCTTTCATTAACTGAGGGGTACCAACAATTTTGTCCACGTGTGTGTGTGCCAGCATGAAACTCCTCCTGCTCTCTGACTTTGTCCACCTATCCTCACTTTTTGTTTCCAGGGGGTGATATCAGCAGCCCAGTATCACCGCAGCTGTAAGGACCTTCTCGGGGATGACTTCAACCGCATCTTCAACGAGCTGCTGGTGCTCTTACCGGACACCGGCAAGCAGCAGGAGCTCCTGACCGCCCACGGAGACTGTAAGGCACGAGAGAAGCAGTCTGGGGCTGGAGGAGGAAAGAAAAACAAGAACAAGAAGAATGCCTGGCAGACGCCTGCTACGGTAGCGAACGCAGCTGCTGAGCTGGACTGCCAGGTGTGCCCCACTTGCAGACAGGTACTGGCCCCCAAAGACTTCAACTCCCACAAAACCCTGCACATCGGCGAGAGCGAGGAGTTCCCTTCCTTGCAGTCAATTAGTCGTATCATCAGCTAGCCCCCCTCCTCACTCTTCCTCTGATCCATTTGCCATTTTGGGGCAAATTTTCAGTTGCCCCTGCAGTTCGGTCGAAGCCCTGCAGCAGTCAGTGTGGGGAAACAGCTGCCTGTTTCCTGTTAGACCACATCCCAGAGGAGTCTGACGCCTATATCCCATAACACAGGAAGGTGGTTTATGGTGTTAATACTTTTGAAAGAGGATTATATTGATAGGTTTGTGTGAATGATTTTACAGTTTAGACACACAGGGCCGCTCCAACTTAACTCTTCTTTCAACTCACATCCTTTGAGGACGTCTCCAGCTGGCACTGGCAACATCTAATTAGAATTCCCAATTTATTTAATGAAAGTGGAGAGATGAAGGATGGAGGAGGATTTACTTGAAGAATGCGTTGCTCCCTGACACAGATAATAAGTTAATTTCCATTTCTACCTTGCTTTGGGCTTTCACTTTAACAGAAGATCACACAATGTCTTGTTAACATCAAAGTTAATAAAGAATGCATGATTCTCCAGCGGTGCTGCTTGCTTAAATAACAAAATAAACAAGTTCAGTTCAAATATTTACCACCATTATTTATTTAAGCGTAACTGTTTAATTGCTTTTAATGGTGCGTTGCTTCACGCAGACGACGGCCCGGTAACATGAGCGAATGGATTGTCAGAGGTTTCATGTAGGGGGGGTAGTAATGGAAGGTAAGCTGCTGCTGCTGCTGAAATTAGGACACATTTTGGTTGAATGTTTTTCAATAAATACCGTTCTCTTGTATTCTGTTCACATCACTCACCAGTAGATTTGATTTGTTGATTGATGGGCTGGTTAATCAGGGCCCGTGGTGTTGCACATGCTTTCAAATGGAAACTTAAAAAAAAAAAAAAACGGTGAAAGAGTTATGTCGATATTTATAGCCTTTAAGGACCAGCGGTACCACGAGGCAGTAAACACTAAGGTCAGTGGTAGCTCCATTTTTATTTCCAGCTTTTATCAGTGTACACATTTAGTTCTAATCAAACAGCTCAGAGTATTGTTATTCCAACGTAGTCACTCCGAAGGGCATGTTTATTCTGTTTGTTGGAGGGGGGTTATATCTCAAATCTGTTCATCTTCTCTCTCAGGACCCTTAGCTTGCACTGCTGCCCACCCGGTTGTGCGTCTGCCCTGCGTTTGTGCGTCTGAATGAGTGTTTGTGTACATAGAGTTGGTCTACACATCATACAGCAGCTTACTCTATTTTCTGTCGGCCTTCAATAAAGCTGTTTCTGTCAGCATTGTACGGCCTGTATCTGGTTTGTGGGCAAACATTTCTCATTTTTCGGGCGACTACTTCATCTTTATTAAGTTTTGATTGCGAAGTAATCCAAATTCGGCTTATAACTTGGATTTTTCTTGTTCATAAATGGTTGTAATCCATTACTTGTTAATGTCATTCCAAGTCTAGTTTAACATTTTAACACAAGACTGACATAAAACCTTGTCGCCCGTTTACACATCTAGCAGTTATGGTGGAAAAATCTTCATGTTGCAAACGAGTTTCTGGACGCCTAATGAATGTAAGGTCAGTATTTATTCTATTTTTGTGCTGTTGTTCGTCTACAGGAAACTCCAGCTTGCTGCTGAAAATGAGTCTGAGCGAACCAAGACTGTAAATTTGTCGGCCGGACAACTTAAACTGCAAAAACCTCCTTAAAGCCGAGAGAAGCTGCAGATTTAGGCGACTCTCCACATTTGATTTTGTGTTATTACAAGAATATCGGATAGGGCGACTTTTAAAAATAATACAAACCCAGGGACAGAAACAGGCAGTCCAAAACAGGTTTTCTTTTTTATTGGAGTGACGGTCAGACTGCAGTCCAGAGACATTCAGGTAATAGACAGTGACACACATCTCTGTACACAGCGTTTTTACACTGAAGAGGTCAAACACCTTCAGAACAGGAAGAAACAACTCAGAAGAAACATGTTAAAGGGGTAGCACGCTACAAAATTAATGCTTACTTGTTCATTTTTTATTTTTTGGGGTGGGTGGGGGGTGTTCAATTCTTATCATCGATATATTTTGGAGGGGGGAAGATATAATATCCATGCAATGTATCATACTGGAAACCACACAACTGATGGTGCCAGCGTTACTACATATCATAGCCTCTGTATGAACAACAGCATGATGGCGTTAAACTTTAGATTTTTGGCCCCTTTTTAGAATGGTCGAACAAAGTTTTTCCAACAAAGAGTGCATTCCATTTAATAAATAATCATCATTGATATATATTTTATTTTTTTTTATTATTTTCAGTAGTACAGGACAAACCAGACCCTGGACAGCATCACACACAAGTTCCATTTACTTCAATAACATACTGAATTTTACAATCAACCAGTACCACGGTGGTGTACGTGGGCCAGAGCACAAAACACAGAGAATGCTTGTATTATTATTTTTATCTACCACACTGACTTGAAGAAGAGACTGAAGCACTGAGAACAATAATACAACCTGACCTGACAGCACCCCAAACTACCTAACAATACCCCCAATAGGCCCCAATGCCACCATCAATACCCCAATACCTCACCCAACCAGAGTTACCTGCCCTGGAAATAACACTGAAGGACTGCATAGTGCGTTTTCTCATACTGACCATTTTCCAAAGCATGCCATAAACTGATTGAAGAATGAACATAAACCTGAACTTATATTTGTTATTTATGCTTCATTTAATATTAAATCAGAGTTTCATTGTGGTGGGTTGTGATGTTGCATTTGCAAGCAGGGGCAAAATAAATAATACACAAACCTTAATTAAAAGTACCGCCATAATCACGTCGTTTTAGAATGAAGGAAGTGGCTGTGTGAAAAGTAAGAAAAGCACGGCATGTCCTGGAAAATAGAGATTTTTACCGTGCACAACTGGCAACCAATGAGCTAAAAGACAGACAAAACACACTTAGTCCTTTGACTCCAACAAATAGGCCTAATGGTACCCTGCCCATCATATCCCCATGAATCTGTCCCATCCCCTGTAATAATCCAGCACCCAAATAAAATCCTATGACTGAGTTATCCTTCGATTTTTAAACAAATATCTAACAGACAGTCTGGTGAATAAAATGTAAATAAAAAAATACACCATGCAAACAGATTAATTGGTATTCTTGGCTCTGTTTTGTAAGACTACTTTGAAACAATTTAATCCTTTTTTAGCAAAAGGAACAAAGAGAATAAGGGCTTCGTTTCTATTTAACTTAATTTGCAGATTTTTTTTAGAACTACATGTATCATCACCATCAGAAATGACTTGAACACCGTCACTGTTTTTTTTGTTTTTTGTTTTTTTGTAAATTGGTGCGTTTGGATTTAATTTTAGAAAGTTGTCAACACAGAAATGAGATAGATTAAACCCTCTTTAGAACCGGAACACAAGCTGACATCTGTTAACATCCTGTAAGTCCAGTCCCTGACATCTGTGATCAGATTTTTCACTACTGGTTAAAGGTTTTGGTTGCGGAAAAAAAAAAAAAAAACCTGACCTCTGGAACAATTTCACCCTGGAGCTTTGAGATACGCTTGTACACGAGTGATCGCCAGGATCATGGGGACGAAATAACACTGAGGAAAGAAAGGAAGAGCTGTTTTGGGCACTTTTCTTGACAATGAACTGTTATTAGCAGAACACAGCTGCACTGATGGCCGGCAAATCTCTGCAAAACGTCTCGGAGTGAACTTAAGAATTACATAGTATTCGATATATAATGAATTCTACACAACAAATTCATGCATCGTTACTGTGATTACTTCTAAAAACTCTGAGGGCCCCAGTTGTCCTGCAGAGGTAACTGTTTAGAAGAGCAGGCAAGCCATTCTACAGGTCAATTATATCACTATTATATTTGGCTCTGTTCATTAATAACAAAAAAAATTACCTCCTAGCTGTATACTTTTCTTTCTGATATCTCAACAGTGATACTGATAATACATTTATATTGGTGGGGGATTATTAAATGACAGATTTCCTCCTCTGCACTTCAACAGATGCATGTTCAAGAAAATAACTTTTATGCAGCACAAAACTGTAAAATGAACCGCACACACACGCTCACACCTTTCGCAAACAAACGCCTCTCTCGTGCACGCTAACCCACGTGCACTAATCAGAATACCGTAATAAGAACACAGGGCAGTTTGGCAGCTTCTAAAACGTAAATATAAAACAGACCTAATTTCTCCAGAATATCCCCACTCGCCTCATTTTACACACACGACACTCAACACCGGACACTGTCTCAAATAACACACTACATACATTCCCTGGCACTGTGGATGGATCATGAAACGGTGTTTGTATAGTTTTTTTTTTGCATCTTTTTATAGTCATGTGATTGACTTTCCAACAAGGAATTAAAGCCATACTGATAGATTAGTTGGCCGACATTATATTTAGCTTTATTTCACCAGGAAGTCCCACTGAGATTAGAAATCTCTTTTACAAGGGAGACCCGGCCAAGGTGGCAGCTAAAGATGCCTTGGGTAGTTGTGAAATGGTGCCATCCCATAGTTTGTCCAGCAGTGTGGTTGTCGCCTGCATTGTTTGCAACAATCTCAGCACTTTCTGCAGCACATGTAGCAGAGTCATGGCTGAGCAGATGGTGCTAGAGATGCTAACTAGTTTGCATTTCTGGAGGACAGTTAATAAATAACAACCGTACAATTTTGCCTTTTTAATATAACTCTAACATATAAACAATACTGGTAATTACCACCTATAATCAGTATCGGTCCCAAAAACCCAGTATTGGTTCACAAGAAGTAGTAATCACTTCCAGCACAGGAGCCCTTAAGGCCTGCTTAACAATCCATCCCCGCCTGGCACAGAAATATAACCGACTGAAAAGCGATTCACTGCAGATAAAGGATTCCCCAATGAATTTTAAGTGTAAACTGACCTGTATTCGTGAATGAACCAAACATGGATTCATGTGCTCGAGGAATACTTTGCATTGTTTTCCTTTAAAGTAATGGACTCCACTCTGGGCATCAAGGAAGACCACCCCGAAAAAAATGCCTGAAAAGATCAGCTTATTGAACAACGCTAATTATACTGAAATTCTGCGGAAGAGAGGTTCTCTCTGAAGCTGTGCGATCATCTGGTTTAACTTCTGCGCCCCGCAAACGGTGCAAAGAAGTCCAATCAACAATTTTAATCCTTGAAATTTTTTGCCTGAGATTTATTTGTACGATTCAAAGACTAGTATGTAATTTGAGACAGTGCCTAAAATTCACCTAATCTGCTGCTATAACTAGCCTATCTACAGTACAGTATATACCTATAAGAATGTGAGATATTGCACTTGGTCACAAAACATTGTTGTTGTTTTTTTTTTTTGTTTTTTTGTTTTTACAGCATGTGGAAATCTACTAAATTAAGTCACTGTCTGAAACACACAGTACAGTATGGCACTTAAGTTTGGAAACATGCAGAATCAATGCAGATGATCACTTTTAACTGCAGCAGGGAATGAAGGGGAAGAACGACCAGACGGGATTGTAGCTTTAAAAAAAAATTGTAAAAATAAAAAATTCCTCCACTGTGTTTGACATGAAAACGGGGATTTTGTCACCTGAATGAATGAAAAGAATGAGATGAAGGTGCTGTATGAGAGTGCCTCCTGCACTATTTTTAGTAATCAAATGCTGCTTTGTTGTGGAATCACTCACTTGTTGATCCCTTTTTCTGTCAAAATACTGTTTGAATACTGCAAGGTGGCCTCCTCTCTTTTACATTTCCCCCTCTTGTTTTTTTCTTTTTTTTGTTTTATCTGCTCTGATGCGAAGACACTGGGTTTGCCAAAGTACACACAGGTCTAGAAAAGTGCAGATAAAGCTGGAATGTCAAAGAAGAAAATTTTTTAAAAATGTAAAAAAAAAATGAGAACGAGAGGAGGAAAGAAAAGAAGCAGAGGCCGTTGTTGTTTTTTTTTTTCTGTTTTTTTTTTTCAATGATTACTGAAAACTCAGCCCGGATCGACACATAAACAGCTGCACGTGTAACATCACAGAAAGCAATTTCCTCTCATCTGTATCTCCGCCTTCCTCTTCCACCGGCAGGTCTATCTCTCTCAGTAAATGGGAACCTGGTATGTGGGCGCCGCGTTGTTCTCGGTGAACGGTGGGCTCTTGTAGGTGTCTGTGGTCTCAGTGGTGCCTGCTCCTGGTGAGTTGGAGGGGTAAGGCTGGGTGGGGGCGCCGCCGTCCATGTGCTCGGTGGTGAACAGGGTCATGTCTGTACCGAGCAGATACTTCTGGACCGCACGGACCGTTAGACCGGCCTGCAGGGGCGGAGGGGGGACATCATGGAAGAGATTAGAATAAACTAAGCTGTGAGCTGATCTAAGGCTCTTTTCAACCACATATGACTTAGAAAACTACTTTTACAAGCAGGATTTAATAGTTTGTTTCAATTTCTAAGAGATAAACCAGTGAAAAAACAGGAAAAAGTGCTAGCAGCTCATTACATAGGTTTTGTCCCCATAATTAAAAAAAAACCCTGAAATTGTTGGTTATTGCCAACGTGTCCACGGCAAAAACAAAACAGGCTTTATATATTTACTCTACTAAAAGAAAAAGCTTCTATTTATTAGTGCAGCTATTGTGAAAAAAACATGGACATTTTATGTAAATTAATTGTGCATAAACAGTGTAAAAATTGGCATTTTGTTGTTTATTTAATAGTCAATGTAAAATTAAACAAATTAACGTCACTTTAAAAAAAAACAAAAAAACAGGAATTTGCCTGTAATGTAACCTTATTTCAACAGTGTAAAGAACTGCAAA